GCGTGCGACAGTTAAAATATTATTGAGTATTGCTTTGTTTCATAGTTAATTTCTGCCCATACTGAACTTAGTTCCTGGCTTCGCCTCTAGTTTGACAGGATCAAATTTCAACAATGTGGACTTAACAATATGGCAGGTTACTGATATAGACCTAATTTCACAACATAATGTAATGGAAATGACAAATAACACATACCTGAAAAATCCCAAGTTTTTGGTTGTAATCAGACTCCGGCATGGTCAATGAAACGGTAACCTGCAACTTATGGTTAGGAGGTATAACCCTAAACCCACCAGCCTTCCCAATTTCAGGGTTCTTCACAAGATATGCATCATGATTAACCTCCGGGCATGCTGTTATTGGTAGAAATGCCACCGGACTCTTCTCTGTGTAATCAAAATTCAAACTTCCTTTCATTCTTATTGGCTCCTCCACCACCCTCCTAATCAGTAATCCACCAATCACAAATGCTGATATCAACAATCCGATCAATACAATACACACATAACCTGACCACAACAATCCCCATCCGCACTTCAAGCACAATTTCCACATTGACTTGTGCTCTTTTAACCATTCATGCACAAATGGAGACACATTTTCACATATAAAAGTCCAAGTTCTGGTAATCTCTTGAATTAAATGCTGTCTAGCACGCCTTAAAACCCCAAATGGATTAATTGCAAACAAGCATGAGTAATAAATTAACCAAATTGGAAACATGAAAAAACTAACCATCAAATTAACTTGAAAGCCAATGGCTTTTATTACTAAACCAGCTAATAATAACAGAAGATTTGAATTCGTATCATGGGTTTCCCTCAAATTTGACTCATCTCCAACAATATCATTCCTTTCATTGTTTGCATCAGTAACTACGGAATGCTCACGATTCTTCTCTTTATCCTCTTCATTTTCAATACTTTCTGAATTTCCCAAAATGTATTGGACCTCCACAGGACCAGAAGGGTCCATTTTTTCTGAATTTTCAAATTCCCTCTCGCTTTCCTTAATTTTGCGGGACAGTCTGGGCTTTCTATTTCTGGCATTCACGAAATCCTCCAAACTCACTGAAGAACAAGGCTCTGGATACTCCACCGTGTCAGTGTCGGAGGATGGTCGATGACCAGTAGATCGGCGGCGGCGTAGAGTTGACGGAGGTGAAGATTTATTAGAGGTCAACGAGGCATCATCGGATTCGACTTTTTCGGAAAAGGTTTCGATACAATCGTTAAATGGAAAATCATGAAGCGCATCGTGAAATTCCTCCGCGTTGTCTCGTGCATTCATTTTCGATTCCTCCATTGAATACGTATACTGTAAATTCTATATAGAACGCTTTGAGTATGCATATGCGTGTGTATGCATTGAGAATAGTGGAATTAGGGCTTGGCTAGAGTTTATTACATTGACGAGAAACAGAGAAATCGGAAATAAGAGATGATT